TTCTTTCTCGGAGGGAGAGGGCCCACCTTTTTTGAGATTCCGACCGAGCAGCAACATGTGGCTGGCACGTGTTACCCCGGTGCAATTCTACGATTTATATACATGTATGTATAGGATGATGGTCTTTCTTTTGGGACCTTGTTGCAGCTGCCTTGGCCCAGGCCCCTCCCTCCACATCCACAGACAGACGGTAATATTGTGCGCGGAAAAAAGGGCCTCGGAAAGACACTCAAAAGAATCCTCGGAGCCCTGTAGCCGAATCCCCTCCTTTCATTCAAGTGTTTGCTCAGGAATTTTCATACCTGAACCGCTTGGAGGTCTAGTTTTTAGGGACAAAGTTATGATTTTAAAGGAATTTTTCGGGTTCTATATTTTTTAACTAGATCGCATCGCTGATAAAATTGAAATTTTAAGCGAGATTTTGAGGATTTTGGGTTTTTAATGATATATTTTGAGGGAGAGGGCTATGACAAAGTGAACCTAACGCTGATAGTAGTTATTCTGGGGATTGCTCAGGGGAAACTGTCGTAAAAATTCTTTTATGACTGATAACATTCTCTACGAAAAATGGGTTTTATATTTTCTCTTGAAGCCACTCGTTGGGAAGATAATTCGAGTTCAGTGCACTTCCATTCAAGTGTTTACTCAAGATTTTTGATAAAAAAGAGGCTATTAGACTGCGCAGTCTAGGGACGTATTTCCATATGGCTAAATGATGAATCTAAGTAGTAGTTTAAGGATATCAAAGTATTTTTTACAATTTGAAAATCATCAAATTTGTCAATTAAATTTTGTAGAGAATTATTACTTCTTTAAACACTCGTTGTTTATGAATAAATAATTGAAATTGTTTAAACATTCAGAAACCCTATTTTTTGAGGCATGAAATCAAGTGCTCGTAATTTTCAAAAATTGCAATTTTTTAATTATTTCATCTATCTTTCTCCAAAGGTAAACTTACTAATTTTTTTTTTTAGATTTTTAAAATGTTTTCTCACGGGTCACTGTCGACTTACAAAAGTATAAAAACATTTTACTAGAGAAAAAATAGCCAAAGTACTTGAATATTCTTAAAAACAAATTCACGGATTTTTGAAGACTTACAGGGTCAAAGGAGTTTTTGAACTGTCAAAAAAAAAGATTTTCATTGTGTTCTCTTACTTTTTTACAACTACGTACACTGAAAGAATTTTGTTTTCTCAAAAAAGTCTTGTTTGCACCAAAAAAATCGTAAATTAACAGGAAAATCTAGTGTTTTATTGAAATCAAACATGTTTATTCAAATCAAACACTTTCTTTTATGGCAATTTTTCCTATCCAAACATTTGATCGTTCCCCTCTCAATCTCCCAAAAATTTTTAATTACTCCGATTTCTCCCCATTTGCGCACCCACCGTCGCGGAAAAAATTCGCAATTAAACCCTCTGCTGGGAGTGTGATTAAAAGCTCGCTTTCACTCTATACTCTTTATTTCTCCAAATGAGTTGGAATCGGATGTGGACGCTGTTTCACACGGCATGCGACGAAAAAAGACCAACACAAGTCTCAAACACATCTCCCTGTCCCTCTCCTTCGCTTCCTGCTCTTGGCCTTCTCCTTATTCACCCCCCCCCCCCCC